ACTTCAAAGAAAACTACATTCATTTAGTCCAAGGAAATTAAATGTAAATAATTGTAATAACTGAATATTTTTAATTTTTTTCTCAGTAATAAAAAAATCAGACTGCTGAAGTTTCAAAAGTAAATAACACTTGACTGTTCCTATAAGCTTAAATAAACAGTGATTTATTTAGAAATACTAAGCCCAAACATTTGATATGCAGCACTTACTACTGGGAGAAGAATTGTCCAAACCAGTCAACCTTCAGCTTGATTCATTAGTACTCAGCAAAACAGACCTCTGCCACAAGCAAGACATTGCAGCCTACAGTCCTGCCAGTCAGCTGTAGTCTCTGACTATATTTGTCCATGAGCAGACCTAATAATCGTAGCACTGTTTTCTTGATCATTTCATGTATTCTGTGATTTCCTAACCTGGGCTATGATGGTGACAAACATCTGTGTTTTTCCATTCAGTTCAGCATAGTTTTCTAATTTGTGGAAGTGAGAAAAATATTTCCTCTAACAGTTTAGTGCTCTGTTCCTATTAGATTCAGTTCTCTGATGCATTTCACTCCTTTTTTTATGTTCACTTCCCTTTCCAAGTTATAAAATATCTGGGCCAGGTACTCTGCTCTGAATTGATTTAAAACTGCTGAGGACAGGTTTCAAGAGCTCATGAGTAAGAAAGAACCTTGTTCATCTATTGGTTTTCACCCTATTAAACAAAGGTAGATTGTATTACGTATTCAATTCCATTATAATCATCTTAGTACATGTGTCTGCAGTAGTCAGCAACTAACAAATATATGGTTATATGGATAGCTTTAGGCCTGAGATACTTCCAGTGGGTTTGGGGGTTATTCTAGTGTCAATATCCTCATGTGTGTTTGTGTGTTTAGGATCAGGGTCACAGCTTTCAGGGAAGTCATTTCTAAAGAGGAACATGACACACTACATTTCACACTGTGACAGATCTTGTAGTAATACTCATATCTTCAAGAAATATTCTCACAAGAGTGTGACTCAAACCGGCCTCGACTGTCAGCACACGTAAGGGATCAAACGCTCAGAAAAGAGAAGTTCCAAAGCAAGAAGCCAAAGTAGCATAACTATTCTTAGGTACTGCAGGGCAAAACCCAGCTGCCAGCTGGCTGACCTGAACGTGGTGATTGCCAATTAAAAGGAAAAATGAAGATGAGGAAGAATGTCAGAGTGAGGGTTAGGTAAGGAGTTTACAAAACTTCTTTGGCTTTCACCAGCCTGATTTTGAGGTTTGGTGTTTTTACCCTAAAAGCACAGCTGTGATTTTTGGGGTGTTATCAGTATCAAATATTTTTCATGGTAAAAACTACTGACAAATAAATATTTTCACAAAGCAGGACTTTCTTAAAACATTTAAAAGTCTATAATTAATACTTGTATTTTTCTACTTTCAATTTCAACTTTAAAATTTACCAAACTTTGCATTCTGTGGTTTTTTTGGTGAATGTAGCAGGGTTTCTACATGATGTTTACTTGATAATTTTTTTTCTCTCTGAAGTATCACAGGCTGCCTTATGTGTTGAGGTACTAGACAACTAGAAAATATTTTTAATTCAATCAATGTAGCCATATGATGTCACCAGTTCCTTATGACAAAGCAATAAGGCCTTGTGCTTATGAATATTCATGAGATTTCACCTGATATTTATTGTCTCTTTCCTACAGAGTTTCCACTTTCATCACTCTTCTCATCCTCTTACCAGGTGAAACAAAAATAACTCTTTTAACCTTTCCTTGTAGATGTAGGCCCTTTACAATCCTGCCACTCTCCTCTCCATTTTCTCTGTATACATCCTAACTGGACCAAAAAACCCTGCCTGGAAGATGTGTTTCAGGTGGAGCCTCCCCAACACTGAGTAGAGAACAAGGCAGTGGGACAGAGAATGTGAGGCCTGCAGTATAAACCTGACAGACCTGGACATTTTCGCTTAGCAGTAAAGAGTCTTTAGAAATCTCTAACAAAAATGCAGCAGGGTAAGATCAGCCTCACCCTGGGCAGGAGCACGGCATAAGGGCAGAGCCCTTTGGGGCACATGTAGCAAAGGCTTAGCACTTTCTCCCTCATGTTCACTTTCTTCAATGTTTTTAGATGATAAATTTCCATGAGTGCACCCTTAATGAGCTGGTATGAACATTACACCAGCTGAGCACTGCTGCCACTCTGCAGCCAGGGCAGGTGATCCAGGCAATGCTTCTCACCATGCACTCACCAGCTGATCCTGGTGGCAAGGCTGGAAAGGGACCCTCGGTCAGGACCAGTAATTATTCCAGATCCAGAGGACAAATAGAATGGTACAAACATCTTAGGTGACAATAATGAACAACTACCAGCTGGATTAAATTAACTCTTTATCTAGTACAGCTAATATTAAGTGTGATTTGTTCGGCTCTTACCAATCCCTAAGGGAGCCTGAGGTTCTTTGGTTCTGGTACTGCTCTTTGGTATAAAACAGTAGTTTTGGTCATGTTTATTGCTGCCCTTGAGGATGATTGGTAAGGACCATCTTTTCTGATGTTTTTGTCTGCCACCATGGCTAAGGTGTTATGACAACTGTGGTTCTGCCTGGTGATGGGCTTCATCACATCTGCCACGGACAGCAAACACTCCTTGGCATCCCCTCCCATTTGTGATCTTCAAACTGCTGCAATTTATGCACTTGCCAGGCCAGTTCAGTGCAAGTAACATTCTGAAAAAGATGTGGTTGTTTACCAGTGCTCATCCCAGGAGAATGGCATCTCAAAAATACTAACATATTTATAACATATTTTCGTTTAACTAGGAATAACCACACTTCAATAAATTTAACTCCCTGAGTTCAAAACACATTCATTTCTGTCTTTTCCAGGGATTTGCTTCTGTTTGAACATCTTTTAGTGGCCACAGATGTTCCTCCATGTCTCTGTGTGCTTTTTTGAGCTACATAAAGAGTTCCTAACACTCAGTATGGTCTGCATATCCAGAGTGATAATTCAATACTGCTTTCTCTTATGGTGAATGATTACAGACCTAATGATGAGTTCTCCAGATAATGGGTTATGCCTTCTGTGAACTCTGGTTTCAGCTTTTCCCCTGACTGGGGGGATTGGGATGTTTTTTTCCAGGTAAGAGTCTCTCTCGATTTAAAGTGAACTCGTGCTGCAGCTGGTTCCTCAGACACAGTGTTTCTAGCTTCCCCCTCCACGCCCTGATATTCTTCTTTCATTAAACATTCAAGAATTCCGTGTGGATTTGAGACAGCAGACGGGCATTCGTGTTCAGGTGGGCAGGATCTCCCTCTGGAGGCTTCCAACAGCAACTGCTTCTCTCCCTTGGTTTCAGAGACCCCGGGAGAGAAGCGCTTTGGCAGAACCAAAATGCTGCTGGAAAGCGGGCCTGTCACCTTGGACAGGATGCACTTGCTTTCTGGTTTGCCTTACACCACCAATCCTTCTGGCAAATGTGGCTGCAATTTGCCAGCAGCTTCAAAAGCACTTGGAATGGCACATCTCCCCGCTTGATGCCAAGTGGAAAAGCGGGGAGAAGGGCTGAGGCGTTTGTTTCCATGCCCTGGCCGGGCAGCAGCGCCCGCACAGCCGGGGTTCCCTCGGCGCTGCTCGGAACGGCCCGGCCCAGCTGATCTGACAGAGCACGGACGGGAGAGGCGACTAAAGCAGTGTGGTAGAAATGACTCTCACGGAGGTGATAAAGAACCAGAGGAAACGCTAAACCAGCGCATAATGAAGGCTTCTAATGCTAAGGTTTGAAAAACATCCAAGTAAGTATGAGCTACATGAGCTACTTAGAGCTTCAGGCGTGGTCAGGGGTTGCTCCTGGATATGTGGGACTTCAGAGTCCTAGTCCCCCATCCAACCAGTTGAATCATTTTTCTGAAGCATACTTGACATGTAGTATGAAATTAAATACTTCTGGGCATAGGAAGGAGGATATACAGGTTTTTCTTAGTTAAATATTATGTATTTCATAAAAGGTTTATAATTGTGGCTTTAAAAATAAAAAATGCACCTTTTTTCCATTAACTGGAGTAAGTTGCATCAAGAACTTAGAATCAACTTTTATTGTAGAGACAATGTTGAATTAAATGAGTTTCACTTAGCACCTTCCACTCTTCTTGTACTTTTTTTTCACTTTCATGAGTCTTTTGCACTCATGTTGATTAGGTCTCCCAGTAAAAAGCTACTGTCCACCACCCTTGTAAAGGATGCTGTCAGACTGAAACCCAGCAAGAAGCAAAGGTTGTTTGAAAAGTTGTAATTCAATATCAGTACCTGTGTATAAATAAAAGGCTTCCATTGAATTTCAGACAGCTAAGCTGGTAAAAAATTCCAGACTTAAGAAGAACTCAGTCTGCAATCTATTTGGAAATTTTACTGGTCAACAAATCAAACACCTTGTAATCAAAAAGCATCCTTAGTAGATTTAAGATGGGAATTTGTTTTAATAACAGTTAAAAAGTGTGTTTCAGATTTTGAAAAATATATCTAAGATTAGAAAAAAAAAAGAAATGTCAACCCATGATCTGAAGGGAGATTGCGGTGCAAATCCATGCCTATAAACACAACAATAACTGTATTTTGAATAATAATTTTAACTTCCGAAAGTTGCTGGAAGTTAAAATCTTTGTCTGCTGTGTTAGTGATTTGGGTATCAAGAAACCGGAAAGGTAAGGAAAAAAAAATTATTCCTGCTCCCGAAGTAGCTAAATGAGGAATTGACTTCCATCACTAAGAGGCGCTGCTGCATCAGGCCCACGGGCGACTCTTGCTCGTCACACAGTGAGGTGGAGCCAAGAGTAAATAAATACCTGGACACACAGATTTGGAGGGATTTCTTAATGCTGGAATATGTATGTATTATCTATCTATCTATCTATCTATCTATCTATCTATCTATCTATCTATCTATCTATCTATCTATCTATCTTTATCAATCTCTGAATTAATATTATTATTTCAATTAAAATAAATCTTTCCGTTTAAAATACATTTTACCGAGTGGCTGCTCTGTCTTCCATCAGGAATGTCCTGTGTTTTCATTAAGCTGTGAAAGATTTTGTGCTGCACTGGTGATACTGGAAATCACTCTGGAAGTTATGATGCAGACAGCAAATTCTTGGTGCCTGGGGCTGTGTAAGTCCTTAAGCTGGTAATGTACATTAGAAGGAATTTTAGATCTATAGAGCCAACTCTTTCATGAGAGGATCTAAGAACAGGCTTAAAGGGCTTCTTACTGTGATACACAGAGCATGTTAAGTAATATTTTACTCTTTCATTTGCAAAGATGGAGTTTTAGGAAGTGGCATAGTTAAGCCAGAAATAAACACAAATATTGTTAAAATTCTTCATGCAACTAAGGTGACTGCTAACAACTTGTAGAACTTATTCTAATTTGGAAAGGAGATTTTTCAGCAGAGTTTACAGCAAGCTGGATTTGGACTGGGATGGAACAGGGTAGGAATGTCAGAAAGAATTTGCGGTTGATGAGGGTGAATATACCTATAAAACAAAACCTGCACAAGACTATAATGATCACAGCTCCAGCATGCAGCACACCTAGAAAGTACAGGTTGGGCTTAGTAGGCATGTCTTGGGTTTGTTCTTTACATCTTTGCTGTGGACTCTGGAATTCCTAGAGATAAAAATAAAAGATTACAGGATGATTAGTGATCTGTATGACTCTTCCAAGATGATTTTTAGGAAAAGAAAGACAAACACAAACAATACTCCACTCTTTGAAGAAATGCAGAGAAGAATATCAGTACAAATTAAGAAAGAAACTATTACCTCAAAAGAGTTTGACATATAAAAATATGACAATTTGAATTAAATTGGTTTACATTTGTCACAATTGCTCTGTGAACCTTTCTCCTCTTAAAAGCTAACTTAAGAGCTTTTATTCAAAATAAGGCACAAACCATTAAAAAGTAAAGGGAGATAAAATACATTTGTAAAGGCTCTTGCAGCTATAGGCTCTCACATTTTTTGCATTACGAAAAAGTAAACAAATTAACACAGAAGAAGAAAGTAGTAGTTACAACCACAACAATGTTTACTTCCCACTCATTAAAGATTATTTAACGATAAAATTAGAGGAGGAATGTTCTTCTATTGTGACTGGTGATGGTGGAACTATACTTTCCAAATAAATGAGTATAAGGGTATGGTTTCAAACACAGCAAAGCTGCCAAAATGCATCCTCCCTCTCCTTACCCACCCTTGGCTTTAGCCCTTGAGCTGGTACTTTCCTGATCAAATTACAGGCCAGTAAAAAAATCTAAACTGACAGAAAACACTACCCACTGAAAAAATACGAGTCAAACCATTGTTGCCAGTTCAGTTCCCTTAGCTCAGGCACCAGGTGGTCAGAGAAGCTCCAGTCCAAGGGAGAGCACCAGAAGAGGTGGTGTGGGGATGGGATCAAGTGTCCATTTGGGCAGTGGTTGCTGCCTCAGCTTACATGGATCGTCAAATGGAAACTTATCCCTTTCAGCCTTCTCTTTCCCATGTGTGAAATCCCATGTGATTTTTGGATAGCCTTCCTCTTGTGGCTGAAGTGTCATAAGTTTTGTCTCTGATTCATCATAGAGTAGAATCATTAAATCGTTAAGGCTGTAAAAGAACCTTGAGTCCAACCTTTGACCAAAAACCACCATATCAATTAAACCATAGCACTAAGTGCCATGTCCAGGCATTTCTTGCACACTTGCAAGGATGGTGACTCAACCACCTCCCAAGGTAGCCCATTCCAATGCTTAACCAGCCTTTCAGTGAAGCAATTCTTCCTGATGTCCAACCTGAACACATTGTTCTGGCACAGCTTCAGGCTGTGTCCTTTTGTCACAGCTGCCTGGGAGAACAGGCCAACCCCCACCTCACTACACCTTCATTTCAGGCAGTTCTAGAGAGTGATAAGGTCACCCCCAAGCCTCCTCTTCTCCAGGCTAAACAACCCAAGATCCTCTTCAGATGTGAACTATTATAATATATTTTTGTCTTCAATTGGAAGACCAGTGTTGTTTCCAATGCAGTTTCTGCTAGTTAACTTTTAGGAAAAAAAATCAGTTCCATTCATGAACTTAGAGAATTTATATATATTCTTCCTATTTTTTTTGCTACATCAGCATACCAGAAGTGTCAAGGGATGTTTCTGACTTCCAAGTTACTCTCTCCAGCTGCTCTTCAGACCTGTAAAGCAGATCACAAAGATATGCTGCTCACATATGATCACAAAGATGCTTGCTTCTCCTCCCCCTGCCACTGCTGGAGATGGTGTTGCACAGAGAGGGACCTAACCCAGTCCAGGCTCACTGTCCTCTGGCAAACTCTGCTTTCCCAAAGGACAAGGTTTGAAGGAGGCAAAGAAGGTCAAGAAGACATAAGACATGACTCTAACATGGTAGGGATATAGCAGTGTGTGATAACAAGGAGCTGGAAAGCACTTCAGCATGTTGCATTCTCTGTAGGTGTCAGGACAGGGAGGTAACATCAAGGGTGGTTTCTATCCTCTTAGCATTCACATCTCATGCCTCCAGTTATCCGTGTGAGAACCGAGATTTGTTTCCTTTTTTAAATTATGCTATTCTTTTGGCATCAGATGCCTGAAAGTTACTAACATTATTCAGTGTTTTGCAAAAGGAAAATAGTCTTTTGTAGATTTAAGAGCAATTGTTCCACTGCGACAATTTGTGAGTAGGAGACAGTGACTGTCGTTGCAAAATCCAGTTCATGTAGATGACAGCAAAACAGGAAAATGGGTCAGCCTCTTCAAGTGGAGAGGGACTTATGATTGTCAATATGTAGAGTAGTAACATAGTAAAAATTATTCAGTGGAACTCAACCATTTAAAAATTTCAACTGCACTTTAGTTTTAAAAATACTAAGGGTGTATGAAGAAAATTCTGCCTAATTTCCAGTATATCTTTGTGTAAATGTTTCTCACTGTAGCAAATCATCAAGACACCATCAAAGCAGATCATCAAAGATGTATTTCTGTCTTCAGTAATCATAATAAAGCTACATATCCCCTTAGAATGATAAAGGCTTAACAGCGGGGATGGCATCGGAATTTGTTTTCATTTATCAGCATTAAGATTTTGGTGGAAAATATTCTAAATAATAATTAATGGATTATGTAGTGATTGTGTTTGTGTGGGTACTTTGTTTTCCCATGAGGTCTGTCTTCACCACATCCCAGTGCAGCATTAGCAGTGTCTCTCTTTTGCTTTATTGTTCAAGCTCAATCATTCTTTCCATCTCCAGAGCCACCACAGAATTCATAATTGAACAACTCTATGTAAAGGAAAAGTGCCTTCTGCCATAATTAAACATTCCCTCTGTGCTGCAAACATCATAATAAATCAATCAACATGCCGAAATTTTTCAAATTACTAAAATTCTCATCTCTCAAGCTCTTATAATAATTCCTTAATTTCAAAGCCCAGAAACAAGGTTAAATAAGGAACTAATATAATGGAATAGTAAAGGGAGGAAAAAATATAATTTCTCTGATAAGATCGTGACCCTGTTGTGTTCTATCCAAAGCATCTCACAACAGCAAGGCAGTGACTGTATGTCAACCACTGAGCAAACCCCACAGCATTTCTCCTTCACCTTCCCATGGTATAAAATTTGGAATAATTGTCTTGCTGCATGTTGTAAATTCTACTTAACTTCCACTGTTTTTTTTTTTTAAATTCTGTAAGGATCTAAAACACATAAACTCTTCTTCTTGTCCCCAGCTTTAAAAAAACTCATCAGTTGATGAGTGTCATTACAAATGGTTACAAACCAATACAAATATTGTTGAAACTCTAGGCTGATGTTCATTATGGTTATAACTTTTTCCTGTAGCAATTGTGATCAGAAACTAACCTTTAACTAAAATGATATCTAGGATTCCTCCTCTATCATTTCCAGAACTGGGCATGATAAACAATGGTCCTAAGTCCTGCAATAAAGTCAGTAGAATTAGCTCAGCATGGAAATGTAGCATATTAGGAATATCTTATGCAAGAAGATGGACAATATAGTACAAGAGATGAAAGTAAATTGACACACAGAATGGCAGTCACTTCGGGACCAAACAATTTTTGGGTCCTGGGAATTCTTGTCAGTACAGATTCATCCACACAACACATTATGTCCGATTCTTTTTTCCCAATTAAACAGAATGCAGTCTTATTATCCGACTGATTTTCTGGCAAAGACACAGTGTTTTCCTCTTGTGCTTCTAAAATAGAGATGCAGATCCTAAATAGCTGGACATTCAACAGAAATGATCTCATTCTTTAAATCTGTAGCATCAAAACAAGACAGAAATAACCTTTGAGTGCAATGAATATTTTTTACAAGATTAAGATCCCATGCAGGAAATGGGACACTCAATTGTTCTTAAGATCTTTGATCTGTGTCTGTCAGAAGAAATCTAAACCAACTTCTGGAAAGGAAGGATGAAGTGGACTCAAAACTTTCTTGTGGCTGTACCATAATTAAAATTATTGTTGCCAGACTAATTTATAATCACTGAAAGATTCTGCTTTCCCCTTCGACTTCGTGAGGAATTTGTCTGCAGGATGGAGTAAGTTTTTCCAGTAGCCTGGGTAATCCCCATTTTTCCTACCCATCACTAAAACCATTCTTTGCATTAGTGTGGTTTTCAGCTGCACTTTAGATCTGAAAACAGAACTCTTATCAGTTACTAAAAAAACATCCAAAATATTGTGACTAATGCTACTGATAGAGCTATAAATCCTCATGCCAATAAAGGGTAAGGTCTAAAAAAATTATCTTTGTATTCCTAACACTTTTAATATATTTAATATCTTTTAATATATTAATAATATTATATTTATTCAATATATTCTTTTAACTTAATATATTTTAATTAATTTTATACATTTAATTAATTAATATTTAAATATAAACCCTGAAGTATCAGCGTTTTTCAGGGTTCTTTGTGGCTCCATGAGTGCTGAAGTCCTCAGGAAGTAACGGAAGCAGAGACAAGATATGTGTACAACTTCCCGAAAGGTCCTCAGGTCCTGCTTCCTGCACACCACTGCTTAGTGCCAAAGCACTAGGTGATTTTTGGAAGTGGAATTTTGGAAGTTTGCATCCCTCAGGAGTTTTGTATGAGTGTGTTTTGTTTTGATTGGGTTTTGTGGTTTGATTTTATTTATTGGGTCAAGAGTTTGAATCAATTTTCTGGGTAAACTGGACCAGATTAAACCTTCAAGGTGAGGGGCAGCTGTCAATGGAAGAAAAGCTCCTGCTCACAAAGGCCTGTCTTTCTCACAGTTACTTGAAAAGCAGTTCTACCCATGCGCATGTGTACTTTAGGATATGATTTACTGTAATAACAAACAGGATACTATGGTCTCCGGGAACAGCTGCGAGGGGCTTTGGAGCAGTGGTGTGGAAAGAGCTACATCCTTCCTGCAGCAACCAGCCAGAGCAGCAGCCAGCCCAGCAAAGAGCTGGGCTACAGTCAGGAGTCTTGGTAAATCTCAATCTGAATCCCCCCAGAATCCCTGCACCAAACAGTATTTGACAAGCTCCTCTGATGAATCTGCCAAAGGCCACTTAGTACCTGAATTTCTGCCCGAAGTTCCATCTCTTCCCATCATCCTGGCAGTTACCCAGGCTGTGCAAGGGGGACTAAGTGCACTTTCTTTTTCAGGGAAAGAAGGACTTTAGGAGGAGGCAGGAATTTCAAGCCCCTTAGCTGAGTAAAGAGGACCGCTGCTGTGGGGAGGCTCATGGAAAATCATAACCAGCAAACTTCTGATGTCCCATGATCTTGAGTGTCAGAACAGGGTGGTGCAGATGGACAGCAACACAGCTATCCTGCAGTTCAGGGCCAGGCTGTCCTATGTACTGCTGTCACAGGCTCTATGCAGACCTCACTCATTTTGCAATTTCCTCACAGATGTGACAAAACTGCTTGAAAATAAAGAAGCTTTGCCCATATGTAGGTGCAGACAATGTCTAAATAATTAGAACTGGTCAGAAACAAAATCACTGAGACCTTTTAATACTTGGCCCTAAATCAGGACATTTCTAAAAACACAGGATCATGGAATCATAGAATGGCGTGGGTTGGAAGTGACTCTATAGACCACATAGTTCCAACCCCTTTGTCATGGGGCAGGGACACCTCCCACTAGATCAGGCTGCTCAGATCTCCCTCCAACCTGGTCTTGAATGCTTTCCAGGATGAGGCATCTACAATCTCCCTGGGCAACCTGTTCCAGTGCCTCACCACCATCACAATGAAGAACTTCCTTCTAATGTCTAATCTAAACCTATTTTCTTTTATTTTGAGTCTATTTCCCTTGTCCTGTCACTACAAGTGCTTGTAAAAATGTGAAATTTTCAGATATTATAATTATAAATATAAGAATTACAAACAGGCATTTTACATAGACATTAAATGCTTCTCTCCTTGACACATTAGCCTTTCAAAGGGGCAGGGAAAAACACTATTCACTTGATTTTTTTTTTTTTTTAATTTTTCCACTTATAAGCATTCTTTTTAACCTGACATTGTGCCATTTTAGAGAGAGGGTATTGAAACAAAACAATCTGTTTCAAACACCATCACCATGCAGCCACCAGGCTGGGGTCTGATCAGGCATCTTGTGTTCTACACCTGCACAAATAGACATGTCCCAGGTTGAGTTTTGTGATGGGAAATCACACCCTTTTAGCTGATCAAGAATGGATCATGGAGATATGAAATGGGCAGAGCTATGGCCAAAAGCTGAAAGGGCCTTGCCAGACTTGGTTCAGCAGCCTCATGCTCTCACACAAAGTGCCCTATGAGTGGAGATTCACCAAATCTTTTGTCATGTGAAAAGCTATGCAAATGATTTGCATATTCCAACTTTTTATGCTTTTCTATGAACCAATGCCTTGGAGAACAGATGGTTTTTCATGTAACTCCTTCAGTCAAGATCTCTCTGAAGAAAGAAATCTAAATGTGAGAAACCTTCAAGTGCTTTAGGATGCTGCCTCAAGTCCAGTCAATTATTCTACCTCTTTTAAGTTTTCCAGAACTGCTCTTCCTCAGCATGGGACCCTGAGCCACTGCTTCTTTAATAGTTCATGTGTCATGGGAATTGGTGACTGGTTTCATGAGCAGCTTCTCACTGACCCAAACAGCCTATAGGAACATCTCTGGTAGACTGAAAATACCACACAAAACTACCAAGACTCTACAGTCAGAGTAAGTTTCTGTTGCAGCATAGAAAAATGTTTTTGGAAGCCAGCGCTTGAACATATTCTTAGAGACTGGAAGACTTTATGTGTGCTTTTCTGACTACTCATCCATCACAAGCCTTTAAATGGAAAAACAAAGTTTACATATTTTGTGAGAGACCGTTTTGCTCAAATTTTGGGAATTCAAGCTCCTCCTGTGAGACATTCAGCCTGGTCCTTGTTCCAAACTCCCTTTTCAGATTTAAAGATGGCTATGAATACATTTGAAATAGCTCCCAGCCACTGTCCTGGACTAAGGAGAAGATGAAGAAGGAAAGAGAAAATTCTTGCCCAAGTAGTTATGAAAGGGACATTTTTGTTCTTGTTCTTTCCTGCGTTTCCAAAGCAAATCTCCTTGTACCTTGACTGTCTGTTCATACACACCCTGGCAGTTCTACCTGACTGACACCATCTGTTATTCCCATGCCTGGGGAGAGAAATTAGTCTCTATAAAAACAAATGCAAAAAAAAGTAGTGACTAATACACTGCAATGGCTTAAACCATTCTATAGTTTTTCAGATATTTATATCTTGAGCCATATTAAATTTAGGCTATGGGCAAATGACCAAATCTTTTTGCAAGATATTGCAAATATTTGTTGACAATAAATATGTGATTTGAGTATTCAGAATGTCTGGAATGAGGAAGAGGTATTAAAACAACATTTCTGCAGATCATTTTTCGTAATAAAGCCTTGGAAATTTGTAGCTGAAGTATGTTTGCTACCTTGATGTAATTAGTAGATTTATCTTAAAGCCTGAAATTTAGGGAAAAAGAAGTATTAAAAAAAACCAAAAAAAACTAACAAAAGCAATCAAGAAACCAAGATCTTCAATGTTTAAGCAAACAGACTAAGTGTTCGATGTGGAGAGGAACAATGACTCTGAAAATTAACCACACCCTCCCTTACAGGATTCCTTCTCTACACTGTATCTTGTCATCTGGGATGCATCATTGCTGTATTGTGTTGCTTTGGGTCAAACAGATTTTTAACTAAACTGACAAAGTGTAAATCCTTAAGGCAAATACCCCAATATTAGTCAATTGTATCAGAACTAACTAGCTGGCTTTCATGAAGGAACTTGCTGAGAATCTTCAAAGAGTTTTTAATAAAATGGACACTGTAGTTACTGGGAGCTAAAAAAAATAATGAGTGCTTAAAGCTTGAAATCTGAGATCTTATTCATGGAAAGTCTGGAGGGTGGTAACCTACAGCAGCAGTTACTTCCTCTGCTTTAAGGAGAAATATCTCCATATCTGTGAAATAAACAGCTTAGAAAATGCTTAAATTACATCCTTTATTGTCTGCTTCATTCAAGCAAGAGTAGGTTGACACTGCCATAGTATGTCAGATGTTGTTTGCTTAATAAAATGTCTCTCTGATTAGACTGTGGGCAGATATCTTAGCATTAAAACTAATAGACTGTGGTGGATTTCACTTAATTTAGGAATAAATTTCTCACAAGCATTTTATTTCTTCTTTCAGGCAGTAAAATCAGAATTAAACATATACTCATCTTTCTATAATCAAGGCATATTGTAAAGGACCTCCCACACAGCCCTCACTGTGACTGAACTTTTTCTTGCTTGCAGGGAACAATAACCTAATGCTTCTCCAGGAGACATCCGCTTAAAGAGATCCTGAACGTTTTTCTGAGAGTCTGTTCCTATTTGGAGCTGTCAGATTAAATTTCCCTGTTTCAAGACAGTGGTCTTCTGTTGGTGACTGGAGCTTTCCTGTTATTTTTTCCTACTACTTCCAAATAGTGGGGTAGTATCAACATCTTTCTGGAAGTTCTCTGGCAGTTTCCAAAATTCTAAATCACGATTAGGCATGCAGTATCACACCCTGTGGACTTTCTGTCACAAGGGAAGATCAAGCCTTAAAGCCTTTCTGCCCGAAGATGTTTTGCAGCTCTTCCTGGTGAGGTACTAATTTATATCCCAGAAATTGACTATCAAATATTAAATATCAGAGTTGTATCATATTTACTTTGATTTTATAGCAATATGTGTTACTTAGCAAGGTGCAAGGCAAAGGGGGTTCATGTCCCCTGTACCATACTGACATAGTATCACTGTGCTAAGTGATTACCCGTTGTAACATCTAAGTGTAACACAATTTGAGGTCATTAGCATGGTCTGTTACAATGGTGCCACACAGTCTTCAAAAAATACAGAAGTTATGAACACACGCTACGTTATCATTAGAAAGCAGTTTGGCTAAGAGATTGCTGTGAAGACTAAAAGTGGTAAGAACTGTCCAGTCATAGTTAACTCCAGTACTGCAGACAGTAAAGGTCAAAACTGAGATATCTGGCAGACTGAGAGACTGACAGCATGTTGCTGTGACATAATTCTGTCCATCTTACTACAGAGACTTCTTTATCACCACCAACAAAATAATTTTGTTAGAAAGGGAAAAAATCTGGTGATTTCTACAATTTCTCTTGTATAAGAGAGAAAATAACTTCTCTGAGCTTAATACCATCATCACAGTGAACTAGTATCACCATAAAAATGCTATCCAGTGACAGCAAACCTAAATTAAGTATTTTATACTCAGATGCTTTTCTGTTTATGTGTATAGGAGATTTTGTGCCTTCAAGGTTGGCAACATACATGTGCATACTTCAATTTTCCCACCCCAAACCCCTTGTGAAGGGTGGCCCAGGAGTTCTGATTGGGTTTGAGTCCCTGGGGGGTTCTCACTTGCTGTGTTTCTACTGGTCTCTGACCCTGAACTCCACCCTCAATGGTGGAGACCCTCGGGGGTTCTGTCCCTCAAAAACCCCTGCTCGGGCTCTGTTCGGAGCTCTCTGTTCTGGACCTGAGTTTGTTCCCATGCTGAATAAATGGTTTCATGAACTGGAAGCCCATCTCTTTGGTGTTCCACGCTGGTCCCCAGAACCCTGCAGCTTCCCTGGACAAGATCCTGAGGTTGTGGACTGCAACAGCAACTGGTTTGTGTATGGCATTGAATTGGTCTTGAGCCTGCAGTTAAGCTTTTCTCAGAATACTGTGGAAGGAAAGACTGAGTGGCCTTTTCTCTTCCATTAGCTGTTATTAATTGACACTATTTCAATAGTTCCACTTCCATGCACCTTTTTCCTTGGCTTTCAGTTTATCAATGAAAGTAATGTCTAAACAGACAGTACACATGAGGCAGGGATTACCTGCCAGCTCCTTCTCTTTAGTATCAATCATCTGCAGAAAGTAGGAACTATAAAACTGTGAGATAAAAGAACAACAGAGTATTTCAAAGAACAATGCTGAAGATGCTGTATCATAGCATGACCATATAAAGGCTTATTGTGGGAGCAGCTAGGTTTGCAACCTCAACTGGTTATCAAAATGTGGAAGGAGCTACTGTTTTAAACAATGTGTGTGCTCTCCTGCTATGGGGATGCCACATGCTTTCTTCCACAAAGTAAAACATAAACAGCCTTGCTGGCTGCAAAACTATGGAGAACAGTCACCACTAATGAGGCTCTGCTTCTTTTGCTTTTCTATGAAAAAAAGTCAGCAGATATTTTCATTCACAGGCATGAAAGAAAGGGATGAGGAAGATGCTGACTTCCAAACTCTGCAAATGCTCACAGGAATTGCAGACCAGTGACAGGTAATTTATTTATTGTCACTCTGTTGTGAAATCACCATATTAATTTCCTACCATTGTGGGAAGATTAGCTACTATGTATTCAGGTAGCCTTAAGTGTAGAAATAAGCTGCCTTTAGAGGTCAAATAAACTGTCCCTGAAAATGCTTATCATCTTGGTATATGAGAATCCATTAATACAGTGAGGGTGAGATGCAGTTGGAAGGGATGACTTTCAGAAGACATTTAGTTGAAAGTAATGGAAGGTAGGTACAAAATCTAATTGGACACCAATGTGCTAAGACTAGTTATTAATAGACCCACTGTTTAAATTTAGGGATTGATCAAGACGCCTATTTCTATCAAGCTTGGGGCTACAGAAATCTGGCCCAGGTCCAGTTTCATTCAAAGTTTCATTTGTAACCTGGATGATGGACTAGGCAACATTTCTATTAAATTTACAGACAACATAAAACTGCAGAAGACTGGAAGGATATTGGCTGACAGGATCAGAATTCAAAATGGCTTGGACTCATAAGAAAAAATTCAGAAGACATTAGAAGGAATTCTGAGCAAGTGATGGAAACCTGAATATTTAGGCTACATTTCCACAGTCATGTAAGATTTGTGCATTGCTCAATCACCCCCCTTTACCACCTCACTTAGTAGCAGATAACATTTATCATAATAATTTGCAACCTATTACTACATGAGCAACATGCCATTTTCACCTCTAGCTTAAGCAGCAGCAGAAGACTGGATATCTACCTGGCAGTGGTCAGAGAGCTGTGTGGAGAGGAATGGACCCGTTCAAAGCTCATCACGCACATCACAAAGGGACCGTGCAATTGCATGGCCATCAGTGGTACTAAATCTGTAGTTCTGCCATCTGCAGGACTTCCCAGCTACATTTACATCCTTTTATTTTCGCTACCACTGCTTCTAATTCAACCACATGCTGAGACAGTTCAGAGGCCTGACAGCTGGCTCGGCAAAGAAAGTGATTATTTTTTTGTCAGAGCAGCTCTCAGAGTCAGCTCACCACATAATCCTATGAGATTGTGCAATGTGAGGGATGGGAATGTGTCTGGGGCTGAGTGGGGCAGCAGGAACTCAGCAGCTTGGATGTGATCAGCACCAGGTGCCATAGCACTGTAAACAGAGAGAGGCCTCAGCTAATACCTTAGGAAGTCACTGTAGCTATGTGAATAGACTCCCCAGCTGAAATCATCCCATGAGAAAAAAGGTTTCTCATACCTGTGGGAGGAGCATCCATAGGTGACTTTAGAAAATGTGCTCAATCACCTCAAGGCCAGAGGAATAAAACTTAAAGGGAAGAAAAATTTCAGACTCACTTCAAAAGGATTCTGCTTCTCTGCTGTCTCCTGCATGCAGGATCCTTTGCATTTGCAGGAGCAGAGAGCAGCAGATGGCTCCAGACAGAGAGCAAGAAGCCCAAACGGAGCCCCGGTCACCACCTGTGCCTGCCACAGCTTGTTCAGTCACCCGGGACAAATGGGAGGGGCAAACTGTGGAGAATGCCCTGACCCACTGTGCTGTGCACAATCCCTGACCACTGCTTGCTGTGCTGTGAAATTATGCATGTGCTGGACTGAAAGCAATAAGCAATTGTGTTCTGCAAATTTTGCTCCTAGTCTTTTTTTGAGGTGTTATTCCTGCACCCACCTGGACCCCCAGCCTCCACCAGACCTGGCATAGGGCTGGCAAGGCCTACATCCACCAGGCTGCAGGTTCATTGATTGTTCCCAACACCGTGTTAATAATCCTCCAAATTACTCTTGCAATTTTTCTGCTTGGCAAAAGTGCAGACAATCCAGAGCTGTTAAAGTGTAACAGAATTTGTTAAAATGTAACAAAGGCTGAGCTACACAAAGACAATGGCAGTTCTGAAAGACAGAGGGACTGTGGAGAACTGGAAAGGTTGGAATGCCATCATGTGTCCTGTGTCCATCCCATCGAGTGACTCTTACAGTCCACTGTTCCTCAGTCAGAAGGATTTTTCAGTGCTAGAAGGAATCTTGTTGTCCTGGGGAAATATAACAACAATAGGGCACAAATGCCATGGTGTGATGGTGGAGGAAGATGCAGGAGAGCAGTGGCACAAAGGGCAGAGATCCCTTGGCCACTGGCACTATCACTCCATCACCTGCTCTCTCCAGCAAAAGCACAGAAGATATGATTACCTGGACAGAAACCATGAGGGAACAATAAAAGCAATTGGAGGTCTGGAAATACAAGGAAGGAATTGAAGAGTAAGGCATACTTATCCTGCAGAGGAAAAATAAAGGGAGGACTCATAATAGTCTTCAGAACTTTTTTAGTGGAGAGGAGCAAAGCAGTGGAATTACACTGTTTGCATGTTTGCAGCAATTACAGAGTTTTTAGGATCTGGTAAGACAAGGCCTTTGAGGAAGCTAGTGGTACAATCTTGGGATGAATTGATGACCTGTGCCACCTCTGACTAAATTTTTATGATTTTATAATTAATACACATCATTCCATTTGCATCTTAGAGCAGACAAATCAGTGAAGAGATTCATTAGATATGAAAGAATTACAGGAATTTGGTTAAGAATATTGCTGTAACCAGATTCCCCTCTTAGCACACTGAAAGGATTTCTTTCTCAGAAATCAAAGGCTCAGATAACTCTGCAGTCCATACTCCCAGCACCATTCCTCTTCAGTCTTTAAGTTATTATTCAATTCCTCTTTTAATTACCTTCATTATAATTTGCTTGAATTAATTTAACTAAAAAAAAATATTTACCAAATCAGAAGTTTTTAATAAATTGTACTTTTGTATATAATATGTTGCCACCTATTTGAGCACTATTCTGTGGATTTAGGACTGCTAAATGACGTTAAGTTCTTTATCCAGTTCTCCTTGAGTCCTTCAGTGTGTTGCACTAACAAGTACACACAGGGAAAATACTTCTGGAATCACCTCCTGTCTTTTAAGATAAAACCAGAATAGTTGTAGTAATTATTTTATCTACCTGCAGGATCTGATTTGAAAGTAATGATAACAGTGAAACAGGGGATCAGCACAGGAACTCTTTCAACAATTTTTACTCCTCAGTTAAATTCCTCTATGAAAATAGTAATTTTGCTGAGCTTTTCCACTTTTTACTGTCCTTTAGCAGCTAGCTTGTCCTTTTACTGATACATTTGTGTACCTGAATCGCACTGTTTGTGTCATTTCAGCTGCCTAGGTGTGCTCATACAGTGCTACAAGGAGAGGAAGCCTGGAAGCAGTGCTGTTGGATCCCAAAGGACAGGCTGAAATGTCATTTTGTGCTTTGCTATTGCTTACACTCCAGTGCTGAATTACAATGTAGAATACAAGTTGTGATAATCTGATTCCAGATTTTCTGGTGGTAAAATGAATCCTGGAAAAGCAGATAGCCTGGTACACTGCACATTTATTCTGGATCCTATTAATATTTCCTATCCACTGCTTCCAGACACACACTCTTACCGCCTTGTGACTCAAAAGATTGACCAGTTTACTGGGCTCTAGGGGAGCTGTGCTAGAGAGAAGGGGGAGCTGATTTAAATTGCTGTATTCTTCCCTTTATTTCCAAACAGATTCTCTTTCCTAAACACAAAATCAAATTAATAGTGTATAATTCTATAGCTCCCATTCTCAAAACTTTCTCATTGAAAACCTGATTAAAAATCTCTTCTTCCTTCTCAGTTTTTTCTCGGATTGCCAGTACCAGACTTCTGTGGGTGTGCCCTATCCCATATTTATTTATTTCTTTATCTAAGTGATATTTCTGCCTCCTTTTGTAAAGACAAATCAAAACTAACAAAAGAATACCCAACAAATTCCTTTGTATATATACATGCTTTCTTTTTGATGAAGGCAGCTGGTGCTTCAGCTGCTTTTTTTTCCATGGAAGTGTTTTGTAACTTCTTAATTTTAAATGAGGAATTCTATACATAACAGTATACTCATTCTTGATGAATGTCCTGATAAATCCTACTTTTTTTACCGCAATATAGGAATTCGGGCCAAGTGGAGAAGAATATCATAAAGCAAACCTATTTTTCATGTGAATTTTGCAGAGGTTTCAAATATGCCTAAATTAGCTTTGTAGACTGTACTTCCCTTGGCCTTTGTCTTCCCTTCTGTTTATTTATGCTATTTTAGCCCCTCCAGCAATATTCAATAAATAATCATTTCCTTTCTGTTAAAAACTGCCATAGTATAATGTTTGCTAGAAATGCATGTTTCCTATAGTTTCAGCTGAAAATCACCATCACCAAGCATGAGGAAGGCTTAATCTAATAAGTTGTTAATGCAGGCTAACACTTAAGAATTTACCTCACAGAAACCAGGAAAATGAAAGCAAACAGATCTACAGTTTGGCTATGTTTCTACACAGTCCTGCATGAAGTGAAAGTCAAAGGCTTTATTGTTTCTATTACATGCTGCATATCAAAATACACTTGATGTGTTAGCAATTTTGATAAGCATATGACAGAAAGAAACAACAGAAGTGTATTTCCCATTGATACTGAGTCCATAGGCCTAATTCAGCTTCAAGCTCATTTCTGGTTTGAAGATTCAATAGATAACCAGTGCTAGTGGAAGAAAGAATAACTGCATGCTTTTCCATCAGAAAACTCCTCAGAAAGGAGAGACATCTCGGGATTTTTGAGATGGAAAAAAAATTAATATGTCCTTCACATTCAAAAGAGAGAAGAATTTTTTTATTATCTACTGAGCAGAATAGATGAGCTTCCAGAGAGATATTTAGTCTTACTCTGGTACCTTTACCATGCTACTCATGCAGGCATCCCTCTGTCACTGCAGATTTACTGCTGCCTCCCCAGTCATACCAGCAAGTTCATGTTCTTCCTTTGAAACTACAGACTTTGCTTATGTACTTAACTCATCTGAAAAGTTTCAAATCATCCTGGGACCTCCTTAACAAGACAGACCCTAAAACATCATCTTTGCTTAAAGCTTTGTTGGCAAGTTCCTCGTGAGACATACAGTAAATTCACTCAAATGAAAAGCAGGTCACCCCACTGCACCTTGCCAGTGAATGATTGCATACCTCCCTTTCCTGTGCTTCAGATGCAAGTACTGAGTTTTGTCACTCCATTACATTTTAGCTATTTTCCTTTAATAAAGGGACTCCAAAGCATTACCAAATCTAAGTTTTCCACTTATTCTGTTGCTAAGTTTTATGAAATCTTGGCATAACTGAAAACTTTGTTATAAAATGAGGTCAATGTAGGAATATACAAGGTCACTGAAGAACTCATACAGCACATGTTATACAATGCCAGCAAGTCAGTCAGCTACCAGTAACAAACTATGACAATGGCGACAGAAGTCATAATGATGTGTAACTGCCTCACAGTTGTTTGCAGTTTTCCACAAACCCTAGCACTTGTCATGCAAATAGTCAGAACCTGCTAACAATAGTGTACATGTGGTCAAACAGTGGCCCCACTGAGACCTCAGTGCCTGTGGGTACATTTTATTATTGCTGTAAAACAATGATAATTTGTGGTAGCTAAAGACAGAACTTTTCTCCTGCAAAAACACTCCTATAACACTGCTTTAATTACCTTTTCCAGAGTTTTCCAGGCAGTGCTAGCAGTCAATAGCAGAGCTGAGCTAGCATCACACAGCATGAGAAAAAAACAGAGCATTAAAACACATAATGGATATAGGCTGTTGCAGAGAACTCCAAATGAGGCTACAGAGAGGTCAAGCACCAGCCAGAGGTCATTTTATGTAAACAGAAGTGGAAAGCACTAAATTTAGTCAGCTGATTATTTATCTCATATTACATTTTGCTTGAACATTTGGCTGTGGAATACAAAAATGCTAATGTGACTCCATGGATATTCTTGAGAGCATAATAAATTTGTAGAGTAGATAAATAATCTCATTGAAATAAATACTTTGGACCATGCTGTAAATAGCACTCAGGACAATACCACTTAGACATTAGAGATATTACAATAATTGGTTTCATGTAAAACAGATAGCTAAAGACATTGGATTAGTTCCCAGGAGTGTGCTAGACTACATCATTGAAGATGGGTTCTTTAATTGAATGCATATAGGAATAAATATAACAGCTTGAGCCACACACAGTATGTCACAAACCTTAACAATTATGGCTACATTTCATTTTGCACACCATCTCATCCCCATAGCTTGTTTTAAATTTAAAGGTACAGAATCCAATATATTTGCTTAAGACACATTTTATATTCTTTGAGGAAGGAGACACATCCTCCTGCTTTTTACTGAAAAGAACCAAGTACACTCCTGGAGCAATATAAATAATAAATCTCTCTCTTACACATTTATAAAGACTCCATGAGTATGATACATATTTAACATACAAGCACTTTATATTTCATTATAAATGTATGTGAAAATTAACTCCACTTTCTAGGTTTCCATAAGTTTTCCTGTATAACTGTCTTAAAAATAAGGGCTACGTATTTTTATTTCCCAATTTTTAGTTTTATTTTCCTCTTTTTTCCCCTTTTTTCTTTTAGTACATTTATAGAAGCTGAAAATCTCTTTGCAGCTATGTTTATACCTTTCCTACATTTTAATTTTTTTAAAAGGAGCTGCCAGCATCTAGACTATTTTTTGTTTAAGTGCAGGAAACTAAGAATTTTCATTGGTAGAGTGTACCTACACTGTTCTGATTTTGCAGTTGTATATGTGGAAATATTAAAAACAGAGCAACTCAAGCCATAAGGATCACAGATCAATCTGGGCAAATAATCAGACATCCTGCATTAGAGAACTTCCTCAATTTTCTTCTTTCTTCTTTTTTATTTTATTTTTTTTTTCCGGAAAGATAAGTATCATGAACCAAATCTCCACCTTTGGCCAAAACCAACTGGTTCTCTTATGAGCATTATCACAAGACAATAGCTTTGAAAACAGAGTGCTGTGTTGTCTGTAAGTGTAAAGATAATGAAAATATGTGAATGGAAATCATGTGATTTCCTTGGAATGCTATATTAAACCTCTTGACTGACTCTCATAAATTGCTTTGCAATTACTGCACTAATTCTTTTCCGTGGTTAGAGATGAAACAATGTAGTACTTAGTCAACAAGTTTTCTAACACTTAAAATGCATCAGAAAAAGTCTCAGCTGCCTTCAAAATAGCATATGTGCTTTGAAGCATATACTGGAATTCTTTATAAGTTTTTGCAGATCTATTATTCTCCTACAGGACAAAATTAGGTTGCAAAACCATAAATATCAAATTAGGTTGCTTGCAGTTTACACCAGAGTAGCCCCACTTCAGAGGTGCTCAGAAACCACAGGAGGGAGTGGATTGCATCAGCTCTCAGCCTGGTGAAGACATTTTCCTTCACTCACCATTCATGCACGCAGCAATTGTGAAGCAAATCCTCATCTCAGCTTACTTTGACCCATATGGACAGTCTAGTTCTGTGCAGCCAGATTTCCTTCATGAGCTGCTACTCGGGATGCAAATGCAGAGTAATTAAGGGGCTGCCTTAAGGCTCCTTACATGCATCACAGTAAGCAACTGCGCTGCATCCAAGCGCTACTGCATTTGAATTCTTAACAGCAAGTTAGTTATTGCTGCTTATTTTTTTGTTTCCTTCAAACAATATTGTAAATGTTTATGTTAGCATGAATGAAGGATTAAAAAAATTATTTTTAATCATCTCCTACACACCAAGCAACATGCTGGCATATGATTTGTTTCACTTCATTGATAATATGCTCAGAGCCTTTTGTGCTGAGGCATGAAAAGTTAATTACTTGCAGCACAGGGTATTTATTACATTTCCTTGTGTTCTAAGTGCTAGTATTTTCTGGATGGATTATTTAAATGAATTTTTGAGGTAATATTTTTTTGAGTAATATTTTTGTTGTTATTTTAATGCACATCATGATTATGTACTTTTTTAATCCCATCTGGACTTTAACAATGGATTGTTTTCTCTTTTTCCTTTGGGTACTGATGACACATTCTTTTAGCTACTGAGAACTGTGTGCTCATTACTACTTTTCACTATCTTTTATGCATTAGATAGTGACACCAAAAGAAAGACTGTCAGATACCTTAAGAGAGTGAGTGTAACTCAGTTCAAACACAAATTAAGCTGATGTAAAAGGACTGAGCTTTGTGGCATCCAAAAGTCTGTACATTTCTACTGAAGTTCGTCACTGTCTGCCACTAATCCCACAAAGCTCAGTAGGGATCAGCTGCTGATAACACCAATGAAAGAGGGTCTTTGTTACAACACTCTGGGTTTTCGTACATATTGAAGACCTTGTGAGCCTCATTCAGATTGTCTGTTACTTAGCAAACCTTAACAGTGTGTATAATGCAGTGCTTCAGACAAATCTGTATTTTTTCAGAGTTTTTTGTGTTATTTCCATCTATCACAAATGCTTTATATACAATTCATGCTTATGATTTAATTCTCTGTCCACAATAAATGCCTCATAAATAAACATTTTATTTTTTTGGTCTTCTCTTTAGTGACAAAATAATGATTGCACTGATTAAGTTCAAAGCTAGAATGTTTTGCCTGTGGTGGATTTGTTACTACCATTATAATAAGTTGTCTTCAAAGAGTTAAAGTTGGTTAGCTAGTTATCCAAATTTTCCCTGTTTAATGAAATAATTTTGTTTCCTTAAACTACATTTAATAAGTAATAAGGCAGACTGGAAAATGAATACACATCTTGCTGTATTGGTTTATGTTTAGTTCATTCCATTTTCTCTCTGAAGTCTACAAGCCTTTAGCTGCTAGCTAATCTATTCATTTCTGACATGCACATCTTTCTGCTGCCTAAGTGCCTGTGCTGTTCTTGAAACAGCCTCAGAGATTATTTAAATCAACATGCTTTGCTTTTTCACCTGTTCACCATTTCCCACATACTTTTATAATGTACTTCAAAACATTATAATTGTACTCTAGGAAACTCCATTGTCATATTAGGTCTAGCTTAACGCTGAACCAATATTATCTAAGGATAGTCCCTACATCCATTGTCTTGCAACTGCAGGAATGCTGCTAGATCTCCCCTGGAGTTCCAAGAGTGCCTGGTAGCAATTCCATACTCAGGGCTGCATTTTAAAATGGATAGCTACTAATCTTGGAGGGCAATGACTCAGGTTGTGCATAGACAGGTAAGGTGCAAGCAGTTAAGTCTGTGGTACTATGGTAAGTGTGATGAGAGTAGACTGCACAGTTATTTTTAGATGACAGCACAGGAAATAAAATGATGTGCTTAAAACACACAAAATGCTAAATTCAAACCTAAAAAGTGCAGAGTCATTGTGACTGAAGCAGCCAAAATTAGCAAAGTGAGACTCCAAGGCTGGTGAAAGTGCTAGAAGGCATGTCCTACATGGAGTGGATGGGAACACTGGCTTTGTCTAGTTTGGAGCAAAGGCAGCTGAGGGGTGAATCCATTGCTCCTTAAATCTTCCTGAGGAGTGGACATGGGGAGAGAGGGAGGTGATGAGCTCTTCTCCCTGCGATGCAGTGACTGGACATACAGGAATGGTTCCAAGCTGCACCAGGGGAGGTTCAAACAAGACATTGTGAAGCATTTCTTTACTCTGAGGGTGGTCAAACACTGGAACAGGCTTCCTTGAGAGACAATCAGTGCCCTGAGCCTGTCAGTGTTTAAGAGGCATTTGGACAGCACCCTTAACAACATTTAATGTCGGTCAGCCCTGGTGGACAGGCAGGCAGAGAGATGGTCACCCTCGGTCTCTTCCAGCTGAAACACTCTATCCTAGTCTATCCATATAGTCACGGTGCCATGCTATTCAAACTATGTCTTCTTGGTATAACTCCTCCACTGAATCCTTCTGCCTGAGCCTCCCTAGGCAGGGGTTGGCCCAAGCTGTACGGACACTGTAGAGTATTTCCCTACCACTCAGAGCAGCTGTGAGAAGTTCCCCCAGGAGGATGCAGGCCTATTGTAAGCTCGTAATGCCAAATAGCTAAGTACAATTGTAGTACAAGTGTCAGTAGCTAAGAACACCTCTGGACTATGATTTTGTTCAGACAAAATTCAAGAGCAGAACCATTACTCTGTAGAGTTCCTTTCTGTACTGCCTAGGACCTGCCATGTCCCCTATCACCAAGAAGTTCTCCCACCAAGTAAATTAATTTTCTAACATTTCTATGGATTCTAGATCATCGGATGCAGGCAAGCAAAAAATGTAGCAAAGGATAGCCCCTGAAAGGCATCCAAGGCAGCTAGTTCATATAGTCATAGAATAGGTTTGCGCTGGAGAAAACCTTAAAGATTATCCAATTCCAATGCCCCTGACAAGGGCAGGGACACCTTCTACTACAGCATGTTGCTTAAAGTTCATCACTGCAAGATATTCCCATTCAAGGCAGTTGGTCTTGCATATGTTTGAATAAGTGAGGACTTTACCATACAAGGATAGAAGATGCCAGGCTAGTAGACTTATTTTTGTTTCTAAGTGTATTCTCCACTTTAAAGGTCATCATATTTTATTTATCTGACATTCATGAAGTGTTTGATCTCATACGCTACACTCTTGATTGCAAGCCTGACTCTGGGAAACAAACCCGAGTTATACTCTTTTTTTTAAATTCTACTTTGTTTTGAGTCATGCCTTATAACAACAGGGAAACTTTGAATTTCTATGCTTGTTTTCCATGTCAAAGCCAGGTGAACTTCAGTCTCAGTTCTCTTTTTTGGACAGTCTTTGTCTACTGAATTTAATTTCTTAGAGTTTTGTAGTATTC